CAATATGGGATGCTTATTTCAAGAGCTGATAAGTGGAACCACTGATAACAATTGTAATTGCTCCACGCTTAGATCAGAGATCAGTTGTAATAGCGGGAGGCCTCCAGGTGCCACCTGGAGTTTGGCAACCGTCATAAGCCCCATTGAACTGGTGGGATTTTGCTCTCCCAGCCTACTGTCTCCCAGTACTAGAATTTTAGCAATGGAACATCCAGCATATATTTACAGATGTCGTAACAGCCGATGTGTTTCCAGCCTATAACTGCAGCTAGTCGGTACAGACCCACACCGAGAAAAATGCAGCACCTGATTAATTATAGACAAGAAGCACATGGCAAAATTACCCCGGTCCCTGGAGAGCGCGAGTGGCCTGGATACTGTTGCCGCCCCGTGTTTTCTGGCAAAGGCCCCGTGATCTTACACACGAGTAAGCCCAGTGGAAACCATGCAGATGGCAAGGCCGCCGGAAAAAGCAGGCCTCATGAATTAAGCAGATGGTTTGAATTATTGATCGCGTACAAGTGGAACGGGTACTTTGGAGGCAGGCGATTCGCTGGCGTGTTCGGCGCAGCGAGGGGCGGGATTCTTTCCCGTTTCTAAGGGGGCTCAAGACTGGTGCACAGAGATTCCCTTGCAGTGAGAGAGTTTTGAAAGGACATAACTCATTTGCATGTGCCACTCCCCCTGACATCACCGGACGTGTGCCAGAAGGCAACACCCACCGCTCAGGCTCCACTGGACTGTTTGGGATTGCTAGCTATTGGGGGGGGGGGAACGTGCAGATCTGTCCTCGCAGAGGAGAGAGAGCTTGTACCCAGGGCTATTTTTGGGCAGGAACGCACAGGAACGGAGTTCCGGCTGGCTTCCGAGTTGGCCACGCCCAGCAGGAACTCATTGGCATAATAGGCCACACCCAACAGCAGGAACTCATTAGGATTGGCTACATTAGGGGTGTGTGGCCTAACATGCAAAGGAGTTCCTGCTCCAAAAAAAGCCCTGGGTTTTGACAACAAACAAGGTAAACAGAATAAGAAGCAAAAAGTGGGTGTGGCTGGATCACCACACTTCTGGTAACATGGGGGTGTGGCCTAATGGGCTAATGAGCTTCTGGTGTTGGGTGTGGCCTATTATCTTAATGAGTTCCTGCTGGGCTTTTTCTACAAAAAGACCCCTACTTGTACCTGAATGAAACTTGGTCTTAAAGGTGCCACTGGACTGTTTTGGATTGCTAGCTATTGGGGGGAAAACGCGCATATCTGCCCTCACAGAGGAGGGAGAGCTTGTACCTGAAGGCGGGCCGCTCCTGTGCACTCCCGCAGGAAATGACCCCTGTCCTTACGTCCTTACTATTACAACTGATCTCCAGGCATCTTTGGAAGGTGGACTGTATGGCATTACACCTTGCTGAGGGCCTTCCCCACCCTTCTCAGGCGCCACGCCCCCTCCCCAATCTCCCAACCTGGAACTGGCAACCTTAGGTTATTGTTGTTGTTATTGTTGTTGTATAGCTAGAGAATCCTAAGATTGTCTGGCAGCCAGAAGGTCTAGCTCTTTTAGCGTTAAGCGAGACTTGTTTTTAAGCAAAAAAAAAAAAGGAAGAAACACAGTACAAGGTCACAACAGAAACAAAAAACGCTACGTAACAAAACGATCTGATGAGATGTTGTCGCAAACCAATGTCCAAAGAGATAAGTCCAATAAATGAAACAAATTAGTGGCGAAAGGAATCTAGAACACTCAGCAGGACGACGCCTCCAAACACGATATGAGTGTGAACCGGTTCCCAAATTGCTTCACACGTCTGCCGGCTTCATAATCGCGTATCGCTTGTCGCACTCAGCTTCAACCAGTTCACGTGGGAGATGGAGGTCCCCGTTAGAAAAGAGAACCAGTTTGGCGTAGTGGTTAAGGGCACGGACTGGGAGAAGCGGGTTTGATTCTCCACTCCTCCACTTGCGGCTGCTGGATGACCTTGGGCAACCCTTAGTTCTATCAGAGCTGTTCTTGAAAAAGAGCAGTTACTGTCAGAGCTCTCTCTGCCCCGTCAACCTCACAGGGTGTCTGTTGTGGGGAGGGGAAGGGAAAGGAGATTGTAAGCCGCTCTGAGACTCCCAGTGAAGGGCGGGGTATAAATCTAATTTCTTCTTCTTGAGAGTAAGATAATGAGAGGCTCTGTGCTTTTGACAAAGCTATTTATTGGACTTACCTCTTTGGACATTGGTTTGCAACAACATTTGGAGGCTTAACAAGTTGTGATATGAACTGGACTTACTTTTTTGGACATTTTTTCCAGTGGTGTATTTGGGTTACATATTATGTGACACATTATACGGAGTATATTTGATTCCCGTATTTACAGTTTCTCGGATGTGTTGTCATTTTGTTACACAGTAGTTTTTGTTTCCGTTGAGACTTGCTTTCTAGGCAAGAGAGGTTTCAGAGGTGGTTTGCCATTGCCTCTGCCTCTGCGTCACAACCCTGGTATTCCTTGGAGGTCTCCCATCCAAATCCTAGCCAAGGCCGACCCTGTTTAGCTTCCGAGATCTGATGAGATCGGGCTAGCTTGGGCTGTCCAGCTCGGGGCTCAACCTTAGGTGTTACAGGGCAACAAACACTCAGTCCCCGAGTTTCCTTTTGGCACAGGTAAGCGTCATTCCGAACGAAATCCACAGAGGCTAGCTGAGTAGTACGTTGGCTACGATAATAGCGGAGGTCAATTAGAGACTAAGAGACGCGGGGCGGAGCGGTTTTCGTCCTGTGCCAAGCTTGCCTGATCAAACCAACACAGAAGGAATTTGCCTCACCCCAAGCAGGAGAAGGCCGAGTCTCAACCTCCCCCCCAAATCGGGCCATTTTCTCGTGTTCTGCCACAGCCTATGGATTCGCCTAAGTTATTTATCTTTTTAAAATTATGGTTTTCCTTTGGCTGTCCAAAACGCTCTTGCTTTCTGCGACTGGAGACAAAGGAAAGTCGGACCCAGGGCTGACGACAGAGTCATTTCCCCAAAACATTAATCATTCCGGTTATTCAGCGTTTTGGACCAACTGCCTTCCTTCCTCCCCTTGGGCCGCAAGAGTCAAAACATTAGGACCAGGTGGATTTTTTTAAAAAAACGGCAAAAATATTTACACATCAATTGTAGGGGTTGCCAACAACCTGGAGAAAAAGAACGGCCTTCCCTTCCAACAGAGGCTTAATGGGAGGGTTCTTAAGCAGGTATTGTATAGTTGCCAACCGCCAGGTGGCACCTGGATATCTCCTGCTATTACAGTTGATCTCCAGGCGACCCCGATCAGCTGCCCTGGAGAAAATGGCTGATTTGGAGGTTGGGCTCTACGGCGTTATGCCCTGTTGAAATCCCTCCCCTAACCCCACGCTCCTTAGGTTCCACCCCCCCAAATCTCCAGGAATCCCCCCAATCCAGAGCTGGCAGTAGGGTTGCCAACATCCAGGTGGGACCTGGAGATATCCTGCTATTCCAATGGCTCTCCAGCCAACCCAGATCAGTTCCCCTGGAGAAGATGGCTGCATTGGAGGGTGAATTCTATGGCATTATACTCTGCTGAGGCCCCTCCCACTATCTTCCTAGGCTCCGCCTCCCAAATCTCCAGGTCTTTCCCGACCCAGAGGTGGCAACCTTAGCTGGCAACCCTGAAGTCTTGATTCCCCATGCAGCTGCTGGTGTGACCTCAGGTCAGTCACAAGTTCTCTCCGAGCTGTTCTCTCAAGGGCAGTTCTCGAAAGAGCTCTCTCAGCCCCACCGACCTCACAGGGTATCTGTTGTGGGGAGCGGAAGGGGAAAGGAAATTGTAAGCCGCGCTGAGACTCCTTCAGGTAGTGAAGGGTGGGGTATAAATCCAATCTCTTCACTTCTCTAGATAGAAATGTTTTAACAATGACAATACATAAAGTTAATATGTTTGCATATTAGCCTACCGAATCTGCTTCAAGGGGATGGTTCTCACCTTTAAAGCCCTTTATGGTCAGGGGCCTACATACCTACCTTTCCCCCCATGTTCCCCAGAGAGCACTACGATCAGGGTCCCAAAATCGCTTGGCTCTTCCGGGTCCCAGAGAAGCCAGGTTGGCTTTGACGGGGGCCAGGGCCTTCTCAGTGGCAGCTCCACACTGGTGGAATGAGCTCCCGGACAACATCAGGGCCCTGCAGGACCTATTACAGTTCCGCAGGGTCTGTAAGACGGAGCTCTTCCACCAGGCCTTCGATTAGTGAGCCGCACCTAACAAATTAAGGCCCTGACTCAATACTGACACTAATAGCAACATCAGCAGCATGTGTTCTGCCGATACGACCCAGACTGAGCTACCATCTGACTGTGCCTTTTATTACTGGATGCTACTAGTACTAGCTACTAGCACTTTATATCAGGGGTGTCAAACATGTTGCCCAGGGGGCATGATCAGCCCCCCCGGAGGGCTTCTACCAGGCTTGCAGTGGCACTGGCTGTCTTCTGCTTCTTCTTCCAGTTCTGCTGCTGCTGCGTCATCGTAGGCTTGCAGCTTATAGATACACCTGAACAGCATACTCCAGATTGCAATAGATATTTTGATGCAATAATTCAGAGCAAGAAGAAGAAGAGGAGATTGGATAACTGGGTGTTAAATAAACAAAATATTGGGAGAGTGCTAATGTTTTAAGCATGTTTCTATTTCAAGTTAAAAAAAACCCCTTTGTATTTGTGTCCTTTATAAAGTTTATATCTCTGCTACGCGGCATTACATTTTATGACACACATGGCCCGGCCCAACAAGGTCTCATTTATGTCAGATCCGGCCCTCATAACAAACAAGTTCGACATCCCTGTTTCATATCATGTTTTTGTATTATATTATACTGATTCCTTGTTCTATCTGTTTTATTTGTTTGGTAAATTTTATCTGAGCCGCCCTGGGCCTGCTTCGGCAGGGAGGGCAGGATATAAATTAAAAACAGACAAATAAATAGTTCTCTGTTGTTTCTCTCCGCCCCTTCCCTGGACAGGTGCGTTTGCCAAGGTGAAGGAGAGCCAGCGGATGAGCGATGAAGGGAAGATGGACCAGGAGGAGGCAGACGGGATCCGGAAGCGCTGCCGGGTGGTGGGTTTCGCCCTGCAGGCCGAGATGAACCACTTCCACGAGAGGCGGGTGTTGGACTTTAAGAAGATGATGCAGTCGTACCTGAAGCAGCAGATCCTCTTCTATCAGAGGGTCAGTCAGCAGTTGGAGAAGACGTTGCGGATGTACGACAACCTCTAGTCCTCTCGGGGCCTCCGCTTGCCTGGATTGTCTTCAGAACCGGGCAGGATCCAATGTGGCTCTCCCGAGCCCCGTTTCACCAACCAGGATTATTCTGTTGGACTTTCCTGTGCTCGTCTCGAGGTTGATCTTTCCCCCCTTCTGTCCCCAACGGAGGGGGAAAAAAACGTTAGGAGACGTATTGCGTTGTCGGGACTGTACGCGTGGGGTCGGAAGACGGCGCTTTGGAGTCAGGGGTTCCGGCTTTACGGACAAACAACCGAACACCAAATGATTAGAAAGGGAAGCCCAAAACACTCAAAACCAAATCCCATATTTAAACTCCGTTGTTTCGTTTTGTTCAAACTGGTTGGCCGAGTCCTGGCAAAGGGTGTTTGTGACATTCCGGGGAATGTGTCCTCCTCCTTCTTTGAGAAGGGGCCCCGCTGAGTACCCCCCCAGCCCTCCTCTACGGCTGCCAACCTCCAGGCAGGGCCTGGAGAACCCCCGGAATTACAACCGATCTCCAGACTGCAGAGATTAATTCGCTTGGACAAGATGGTTGCTTTGGAGGGTGGGCTCTACAGCATTATAGCCTGCTGAGGTCTTTCGCCTCACCGAGGAGCGCCCCTCCGAATCTGCAGGAATTTCCCAAACCGAACCTGGGAACTCTTATCCTCCACCCGCGAGGCTGGTTACAGAGAAATGGAAAAGTTACCTTTCCTAAGAGAAACAGAACCGGTATCGGACTGGGGTTTTTTCCATACTTCTCAGTAGGGTTACCAGCTCTGGTTTGGGAAATACCTGGAGATTTTGAGGGAGGAGCCTGTTTTTTGGGGGGGAGGGAGGGAGGAAGAAGAAGAAGAAGAAGAGATTGGATTTATACCCTAGCCTTCACCAGGGTTCCCTCTAAGCTGAGTCAGTGTGAGCTAGCTCACAGTTTTTTAGCCTCCGGCTCACACATTTTTGCCTTAGCCCAGGACGGACGGCTCCAGAGCAAACTAATTGACGCAGCCGCCAAACCGCTCGCTCACACTTTTCATGCCAGTAGCTCACAAAGTGGAGTTTTTGCTCACAAGACTCCACAGCTTAGAGGGAGCATTGGCCTTCACTACCCGAAGGAGTCTCAGAGCGGCTTACAGACTCCTCCCCCTCCCCACAACAGACACCCTATGAGGTAGGTGGGGCTGAGAGAACTCTCTCTAGAACTGCTCATGAGAGAACAGCTC